CGAAAGTGGCATTTTCCGGTGCACGCTCAAGTTTTTGTGTGAGGCGAAGCCGAACACAGGGAACTCCAATGTCACGGAGGACGGGAAAAATGGAGCAAGTGCCGGATAATAACTTTCGGTTCGAGTTATGAACGATACTTTTCATCACGACGCAAAAATACACTAACACAGAATAGCAGTTATATTACAACTATTGTATTTCTCAATTAATTTGATTGAACATCAAAATAAAATCTTCTAAAAGGAAACCTACGTATATTGTTGATTAATTTGTAAAACATAAAAATAAGAGAAACTATTCTTAAGGAAACCTACGTATATTTCTCAATAAATTAGGTTTAAACATCAAAATAAAAGAATAAAACAACTTTTAACATTACCAACAGCTGATTCAAATCGTTAAATTGAACCGAGACAAAACACTACCGTGCGTAGTGAATAAATGGAGAACTAACTGAGAGCGAGGAAAAATCAGCTGATCGATTTTCCCTCGCCCTAAATTAAAGCTTGGAAAACGACTACTTTCATTGATGTCAGCTGCTATCGAAAATAGTTACTTTCGTTACGGAGCGATGAAAAATATTATTCTCAACCCTATTTTGTTATCTCTTTTAATTAAATTATTGTAGTAAATAAGTACAACTGAGCACCCTGAATATTTTATCAGCAGCCCTATTACGTGAACACCTGAATTAAAACATAAATGACTCTTTTAATTAATATCATTGTGTCTTTATTCAGTAATTTTATTATCATTAACAGAATGTACTAAGATGAGGTAGTAGAATTATGTTTCTTGTTTTGTATTTCCCGTCTTGTTTTCCTATTTACTCTAATCAATTATTCCTAATGTATATCTAGACTTCTGTTTCCTTCAAAACCCCGATTGGTAAAAGTTAATAGTTAAGGATCAGCAGAGTCCTACAGGATGAATTGATTAAGAATGATTTCTTTAGGGTACCAGCCGACCCACCAAGTACCATAAACTTTACGATGACATAGACATTGGAGAGGACGACTTGGAGGAGTTGACATACTATTTGTGCCACTTGTTCTCTCGTTGCACTCGCTCTGTCAGCTACCCGGCACCGACATACTACGCCCATCTGGCAGCAGCTCGGGGCAGAGTCTACTTGGAGGGGTAAGTCTGCAAAAGTCATTGTATTAGCAAGTTTCACATCAAAGAAACTATGTGTACAGACTGTGTGTCTACCATTGGTTGGTGTTCACCCCTCCTCTTCAGAAAATACAAGTTTAAAGAACTAACTAAGCTTTGTAAGGTTAGTTATGTTTAAAGAAAGACTCTAGATCAGGTTGTGATTTTTATAACAAATAATAGCTAACTTGCATTGTGAGAGGGGGGGACTCGTGGTTCAAGCATGTCAACCGAAGCTTATTGTGCATCCCCACAGTCTTAGTAACTTAGCTTAGACAAGTCTAGGTAGGCCATAGTACCTAAGACACAAACACAATATTTCCCCACCTGGGGGAATTGGTCACGTGTAAAAAGTAGTCGTGATTGATAAAACTACTATAAGCCCACATTGTTATTAAAATATCTTTGTCTTTATTACCTTGTCACCACTGTATGTTTCGCTACAGTAATATTGACATTATTCTTTTTTCAACTGTTAGACACATTTGACAAGTTTGAATTTATTACCTTGGTGGACTAATACATCAATATTGGTAACAACTGGTTGTATACAATTGTAAAAAAAAAATAGAAACCATTTTGAGAGATAGCGTAAATTATATTTTAACTAGTTATAGTTTGCAAGAGGTACAGTCCTACTAAAGAAGCTACAATATACTGTTATATCGTTCAGTATAACAATAGAGTTCATTACACAGGCCACAAGTGGTGAAATATACTATTTTTATTACAATTTCATAGATAGTATTTGTGTTATTATTTGTCAAGTTTCTCATGTAGGCCGACTTGTTTTTTGTTTGATTAATTGTTTTACTGATTTCAGGGCTGGCATCAACCTCACAAACCTTAAACAGGAGATGAACACCCGAACAATTCAAGAGGTTATCGTCAACGACTCTCCCATGTTTTTTGTGTAAATTGTTGTCATTACATTACTGAAAAAATTCTGTTGTTTCAGCCTTGCATTGTCTATATTGTTCTATATGGGATGGGATCGATTAACCATTTATTGCTTAGGATCTGTAATTTATTTGAAAAGATCTTTGGATGTACTGCAGTTCATATAGCCAACCTGCATTTACAATCTTTAATGTAATCAAGAATCCTTTTTATATTATTCGTTTGTAAGTTTTCATGTAGTACCAATTAATTTTGTTTTTCAAGCAGCAACATCTATGTTTTCCCCCTTTGATTTTACCATTTCTTAGTCTTACTAATAATTTGTTGTTTATGAAGTAATCATCTTTTGAGCTAGTGCAATTCATATAGCAACCTGCATTACCAATTAGTTTAATATTTATTCATCCAAGTACCAATTCATCTTGTTTTTCAAGAAGCAACATACGTTTTGGTTTGAATTTGAATTTGGTTCAAGTTTAGTTACTAATGATGAAATATGGTAATTGAAATGATTTTGTACAATTGAAACATATTGTGTGTAAAGAAAGATGTAGTTTATATTCAGATATTTATTAATACATTTTATAAACCAATTGTTTTCATTTCCTTTTCCTGTGGTCTTGGTAATGTATAGTAATAAAGATAAATAAATAAATTTGACTATGACTAATGTATAGTGGTGCAATCATTAAGTTTAGTGTGGGGGAACGTTGTCTAACTTTTACTGCAAACCCTCATTGCTGTAAAAATTACGGTTCATAAGTAACTTTTTGTTATTTTCTCTACCTAATGCAATAGTTACTCCCACCGCATACCGACGATAAAGGTTGTTGACAAGCAAATGGGAGAAAGTATGTGTTAAATTGTTAATACCGTTTATTTGAACTCATTATCATTTATGACATTATAGAAATAACATATTATTGTCAAACGTATGTTTTTGATAATTGGGAAGAATATTTTATTTTGTTGTGCAGAAAAAAAAATACTTTTGTGTTGAATTTTATAATAAAATGTCTTTTAGAAGTTTATTTTCAAGGAGGAAATTTAGACAAGATTTGGAAATGAATGCCATAAAGCTGGAAGATTGTGGATGGGGTGTTACTTTAATATATCGGTTATACATTTGGAAAGGTAAAACGATTATGATACACTACTTGAACCAGCTGTTCCTGATCATTGGGCTTTAAATTAATGATCCTGATTGATGAACTAGCTAGTTTTAGTCAGCAACAAAGCTATACAGATTGTCTCACTCCATTCTACACTCATCCTTCACTCAATAGTCATAATATTTGGGTTAAAATATGCACCTATTGGGCATCCCCATCTCAAATAATTGATCATTAATAATAATTTAGCTAAAACTCTAAGAAATAATTTGAATATTATTAAATCAGCAAAAATGTTGTGTCAGATTAACTACAAATTACAAAACCTGGCGAATGTTGTGCAATTCTCTACATAAACCATACAAAAAATTAAAGTGCATCAAGCAGTCTTAAAATACCAAAAAGGCTGGCCAGTGATGTATGTGGTCTGCCTTTCAAGCTACAGTCAACTTGTAGTTTTGTACACTACACTAACTAGGTCCAGGTTTGGATAAATAAAACAGGTTATACAGTTGCAATGACTTTATTTCCAACCCAAATAATTATCAATACACAAAATCAGCTACTGAATTTAATTCAAAGATAAATCAACTGAATGTAAAGCTACGTAATATACAAACACCTGATTACATCCATTTGTACATCAGCTACACACGAAACATACAAAGGATTAATTCTACAAGGCAATAACTGTTCTGTTGTACAAAATAGTGTTTAGAATTGAGCTTATTCGAGTAGGTTACTGCACGTCACACTGTTTACAATATAAAATCAGTGTACCAAAAATCAAGAATAGCGAGTGCCAAAGCATCAAAAGCTTAGTTATTTGTTACATTTTATGATATAAATAAGTTACGATCTAGGCATAGTAAGTCTAAGTATATTGTTTCTTTCTACCTTCATAGTGACAGAGTCATTCTTTCCGAGTGAGATCGAGAGAGTGGTGGCTAGAGGCGAAAAAGCTTAAGACTAATACCAAATGTTATATCTTAAAACTAACTTTATAAATCTACCACTACAATTATACATAACTTAAAACTAGCATTGAAATAATAAAAGTTATACAATTAAATAAAATGAAACAATATTATATTGAGTTACTAAAGCTAAGAAAGGGAACCTGTTTGACAGGGTGAGAAGATTAAAGATTGGCAGAAGGCAATAAATAGTATACACATTTTTAAGTATGTTTGTTCCTGCTATCATAGTGTGAAATATCACTTTAGTGTAACTTAAATAAAAAGGAGGCGGGTGAAAGCCATAAATTTAGTGTAGTTTTTACTTTGATGCTTAGAAATCTGCTATTCCTTCTACAATAAAAAATAAAATGTCTAACTCTAACCAAAAGAGTAGGCTGCATAAAAAATTGCTAAGGAGAAATTAAAGTTAAGACACTATTTGAAGTTGTCAGTCTCAAACAATCTTAAGATTTAGAAAGGAAGTACAGAGAAGCAATAGCAACCCATGAAAAATCTAAATTAACAAAAATACAATACACTCAATACAATACCTACAGTATAAATCTAAAAATATAAAAAATTATACAATTATATTTTTTGCATTTATCATTAGTTAGAATAATGGTTACGGTAGTACAATAATTTAATCACTGACATCAGTTATGAAAGTTTGAGTAGAAAATTATCAGCCTTGGTACATATGTATTAGTTATTATTTTTAGTATAAATAGAACAACCAATTGAAACGAAACAAAGGTTATTTATTTAGGCCTTAACATGAAACACTATTCTACAATTATTTATTTAGGCTATTAATAATTTAATAGCTACTTTTAGTGTTGAAATTTCACTTAGGAAATAAAACATCACAAGTCAAAAAATTAATTTATTTACCCAATATTAAACAGTTCTTCAAACTTTAAAAGATTTCAAATAGTCCTGCTATAACCGTTCTAATCGGTTTTCTGTAGGCGCAACACATCAAAACTTGAATTCAACAAATAAAACTTTTCCGAGAATAACAAAGATGCATAGTAAAATAATCCACCAAAATAAACTAAAATTTACGCAATATTTACAATAGCCACTACTCTCCGATGACAAATGATTGAAACGATGGTGAAAGAATGATCAGGCACTGCTTCGCCCCTCTTGGTCTGGCTTAGGACAGATCTGAAACAGACAAATAATCAGTGTTTCAAGGAGATTTGTCGATAAAAATATCTATTAATTACTGACATATGAAACAAAGATTCTGAACACCAATTCCTAAATGATAGCATCAGAATCAAAGTTGAGTTGATTTACGACCATTGGCAATCTCTATGACAAGACACATTATCTTGGAAGCGATGACACACTAGTTGTCCATTAAAAATATTAAAACTAGGAACTAGTAATTTTGACAGACAATTTAAAATAGGTGCTTCAGTCAACGCACTGGTACTTCTAACATATTTAATTTACTTAGGTTTTCATTAACACGTTTGCTGCTGACGACTCCGACGGGAGACATGCCATACTGGCACAGCTTGCGTACGACTCTGGCCGGAGTCACGGTGCAGTGGTATACAAGTTGGTACCAACGCATTTATCGGGGATCAACCAAACTATGTCAGCACAGCATGTTGTGCTGGTCCTACACTTTAATTTGGTGTAGGTTGGTAGTAAAATTTCTTGTAAAATCCCGTCTGGCATTGCTTTTTGTCCCGTTTCTTCACTTTAGTTCTTCACTAAAACTTTACTTATTTTTTAACTATTGCCCCAGTACAAAATAGCATAGAGCAAAACACTGTGAAAAAAAGCAATATAACAAGATCTTAAGTAATGACCAGGTAGGCCAAACCTAAGGCGACGCAACATGTGAACAACTTTGGAAAGCTTTGAACAAACCTTAGTAACATGAGTATCCCAAACTAACTTAGGATGAAGATGGGCACCTAAAAGTTTAACGCTACTGTCATCATCTGCCTCTTTCGTTGCTGTTACGTCTAGATTCTGTGTCTTATTCAAGTTAAGGAGAAATTTGTTAGCTGCATATGAGATACCCATGTTTTGTCTGTCTCTAGACTCCCTTGACGTAAACTCCCTCCGGTCGCGTCGATAGGGCTAGTCATACGTGTTGTGTGTTTAAAATGTGTTCCATGTTTTGTAAATAAATATTTATGAGCTTTGACGACCTTCAGAAGCGACAATGTCCTTGGGAAAACCTGAAGAAGGCTCCATTGTGAGCCGAAACTAGTTGTTACACAACAACTAGGATTAACAACATTACAGATATTTTTACCACTTTAATTGTATCTTGATAATCTGGAGACTGCTTGTTTGAAAAATGAAAAAACAATAAGAAGTTATTAGTATCTTCCTTTTATGCTCTGTGTAATACAAATATAGTAACTGCTTTTGCTCAATGCAATATAAATAAAAAAATATGCGATAAATACTTACAGCTTGGTGCTGCCGCCATGTCAAAACGTCTGTGGAGTTGATCATTAGAAAACTTGACGAATGATTCGTATTGCTCAGAAAGTTTCAAGTTCAGGATGCGATCATATTCTTCACGTAGCTGAGTCTCTCGCTCAGTCATCATTCTTTCACAAATAATTCCCACCTAGGAAAAAAAACACAACTCAAGGTACAATTTAAGGTAGATTAATTTCCTTGGATTATTTAAGTGTAGGCCTATTGTTGTTTCAAATAACGTACATTACCAACTGATACCATTCAATTTGGTGAATCAGAATACAAAATGATGTGCATTTTTTTAATAAGGTTTGAAAATGATTCATATTTTATTGATTTAACTTAAAGTATTTTAGGAAAAGCATAGGCCTACATTGATATTTTCCCAACAGCGCTCATCAAAGTGAAAATAACAAATTTGCTTGCAAATTTACAAATGTATCATGATTTTTAAGTGCAAGCCGTTAATATTATTTTTGCGGAATCCTTTAACTCCTTTTACCAATTTTGGTTAGAACACGAAATAGATAATGGCTTATTCTCTAAATGGGAAATTTGCTATTAGAAGTAAAATTGAAAACCCTATCTAGCTATTAATTTAATTATATAATAATTTAATTATAATTCTGAGCATCTGAAGTGGCAGTTTTTGATAGTAACTTACAGTAACATTGAGAAGGATGACCAAATGGGCTTTTTGCAATTTTGTGAAAAATCTCTAGAAATTTTACCCAATATCTGCAAGCCTGATGATCTTGAAGATCTCCTTGAGAAACTGAATGTCCCTTAGTAAACTTACTGAAGGAATGGGCCTAAGCTTTTACCTCTGGTTATTACAGTCAAGGAGTAGGTGTCTCATCATGTTTTTGCATAAAATGAGTCCTAAAGTAACTATGTCCTGTGATAAACCCCCCCCCCCCCTTGCCTAAATCACTCTGTTAAGGATGAGTGCTGGGTATTCTCAAGGATTACCCCTATACAACTTACAGTTTAGGCCTACATCAAATTATAGCAATTAATTCAATTTGGTGTTTCCTCTTGCCATCTCAGATTTCAATAATTTGAAATTTGAATTTGTATATGGAATATGGACATGGCATTGATCATTGGTCTTTTGATTAATGCTCCCGGCTTGTGAAACAGCTGGTCTTAGTCAGTAACAAAGCTACACAAGGCATCTCAGTTCATTCTACACTCATATCGGGTTTAAATACGCACCTAGTTGGCATCCTCATCTCAACTGGTAATAATAATCAATACTTAGCATAGTATTGGAGGATAGGGAAAATTTCAAATTCCAATTTGAATAGGCCTACACCTAGTTAAACTATTAAATTATTACCATCAACTGACAAATGGAACAGTACAAGGACTAAACACACCGTACCGGTACCTGACAAGTTTTTTTTTTCATCAAAAAAGTTGCATTCTGGAATAAGTTAATATAAATTTAAATCAAAACTTCTATTGCAAGATCCAAGCAAATATTTTGGTATGATCTCTGTAAGCTAGTGTTTAAGCTAGTACTTTCCAAATATCTGAGATAAAGCTGAAAAATGACACCCCTCTAATCTTAGTCTAGCTGGATTCAGTAGAGCGCTAGAGCTGTTTGAAGATTGACAAACAGAAACATTTTTATTGTCATAAAAAACGTTGAATATGTGTAATTTTCAACTACAGTTCAGATATCATGTTGAAATTTAGTATTTTTTTAGTCACCGTGTTTTTTTTTTTTTTTTTTTTTTTTTTTAATGTATGTACCAATTTTTACCAAATTCCATAAGAGTCCTTGGAGCCTAGATGTTCTAACTTATAAAACGATTAAAAACTGCAAAGAAAATTTCTTATCCCACAGTTCACTAGATAGTTTAAATTACTATTACTACTAGGCTTATGTCTACTATCACTATAACTGGTATTTTAACAAATACTTTGAGATGGTAAATCACTCTTCAGCAGCTGTTTGAAATTCACGAAACTAACATTGCTCTTTTATGGCAGGCAAAAGATGGCCAAAAGCCATTAGCTTCCATGGACTCCCTTGGAAAATAATTCAAAGCAACATCGAAAATTTCTAATCCCACAATGTCCTAGATATTGAAATTATAACCACTTTGGATTAGGCCTATGAAAATAATAGTTTAGAGTGAAGAATAACTCTTAAGCAGCTATTTGAAATAATCCAAGATGGCCACTAGCATCCAAGGACTCCTAACTCTGAAATGAGTCACATATAATATAAGCTACTGTGTTTGGTTTGACATGGCATTACCATCGATATATAACAAACATGGAAACGCGGTCCGGCGCTGTCAGACACCCCCTACCACAGTCCGGGCAACCACGTGCACTGCCACTACTGTCGGTATAGCTGACAAGCGGAAGTGCGTGGTTTTATTTTTTCGTAGTAGTATTTCTTCGACGTGATGTACTTTGATCATGCCAGAATCGTGTTCTGCATTCAATTACACAAGCAGAAGAAGTAAGAGCAGTTCAATTTCGTACAAAAGAAAATCTCATACGTGATTCAGAAATGTTGAACGAGTGCATAGAATACTTACAGACTTTGAAAATTGAAAAAGTTTCAATTTTGCAGCATCCTAGAAAACCCTTTGCCCTAGGGTTCATGACTAATAAATGTTCCATAAGAATTATAACCAGCAGATTATTAGATGACTTAAATTTTTAAGTACATCTTAACATAGGCTATAAGTTTTCTCAAGACGATTTTTTTAGAGCTGTTGTTTTCCACATATCTAACGTGGAGTTTTAGGAGGATAACCACGAAATGAAATGAGCAAAATCCATAGGAAACTTGTTTTTTAAGATACTTCGTTTTAGCAAAGCAAAAAGAAACAACCTTAGCAGCTGTAAATGCAAAGGTAGGGATTAGGCAAAAGTTAACAAAACTTGTTTTGTTTAGCAACGTTTGATGTTTTGTACGTGAGTGATTTTGTAGTTTTGGTGTTTAATACAGGGTGCCCCGCAAGTAAACAGCCAAACTCCGGGAAATAGTTCTATGGGTCAAAATAAAAAGAAAATCAAGAATAACATTTTTTCCAAAATCGCTTCGTTAACTAGGTCAACTATTTCAGCTATTTCTTATTCGAACTTTTTGAACATTGTATTGTTTGATACGGAATAAATATGCTAAATAGAAGTGTCCTTGAAATTTTTGTCATAACAGCCGTTTTTGAGCAATGAGTTAAAACAATTAAAATTGCCACCGTTTTGAAATTGTATGTTTAATCAAGATGATTTTTTTCTAGCATTGGTCTTATCTTACTTAACTTTTATATACCAAGTTTTATAAAGATCGGTTGAACATTTCAAAAATAAAAATGTTTATGTAAAAAAACAAATATTGGATATCTGGTTAACGAAGTGATTTGAAAAAAAAGATGCTTGATTTTCTCTTCATTTTGACCCATAGAACCAATTCCCGGAGATGGGCTGTTTACTTACGGGACACCCTGTATATGATATCGTTTTGTTAAGCAAGATATTTTCCTGAATTTATGTGCAAATTAAATTTGTACTAGCAAAGCAAACAAATTAACCTTAGCATATGTAAATGGAAATGTTGGCATTATAGGCAGAAATTAACAAAACGTGCTTTGTTTAGCAACGTATGATGTTTTGAACGCGTGTCCTTATGTAGGCCTAGTTGTGTTGTTTCTTTATGATACTGTTTTATTAAGAAATGTATTTTCATAAATCGAGTGTACAGATTAAATTATAAATATGTAGGCCTAATCTTGTCTTTAATTATTGTTCCTATTTCCTCTGTTCTTATAATTTACTAAGCAAAACTGTTCCAAAACTGTTTTACATTATTGGAGTTTTTATTAAAATATATTTATTATTTTTCAACAAACAAAATCAATTAAACTTACACAATAAACAGTTAATACTGTAAAATATAGATAACGAATGTTATCGATGCAATCACATGTTCTGTATGTGTTATTCAAGTGTAAAATAACATTGCATTAAATGAAAGCGCTGCAGGTATGCCCGGAAAGTGGTGGGGGGAGCTGTCTGTAGCCGGACCGCACAGCTGCTACTCAGCGCGCGATCCATCGTGTTTATATATCGATGGGCTTTACTGACCTGTCTGAATGTGAAGAGTGGTTTGTCGCGGTGACTCTGATGGTAAGTCGCAGCAAAGCTACTGCCCGAAGGTGAGCCCGGGGAGTCAGATGAGGACTCACGATCCAGATGGCTCTCGTTGGGATTGAAGTGCAACTGCTTTCGCCGATGAAGGCGGCGCATTTCCTCACGAATCGCCGCAGCCATCATTTCTAGAATAATTTCATGTATAAGTATCTCAAATGTCATAGGGCTCAAAGAAAGTAGGGTAATTTATTTCTACTGAATGTTTTACAAAACACCCACAAGTGGGATATCATTTCATCTTCCTGTTGCTGGTTGATGTCAAGCTAATAGGCTACAAGCAATGATACAAAAACTAATATTAGAGTACCGGTACTTTTGAACAAGGCTTGTGTAGCTTAAAGCGCTCTAAAAACAATTTCTGTGTCAATTTGGCTGATTAAACAAGAAAAAAAACAATGACTGGTGTCGTTTTATCATTTGTTGGTTACACTACAGTTTGCAAAAAGTTGCTTTGAACAGAATCCAATTTTTTATTCATTATTTCTCGTGTTCACATAAACTTTCAGTGAACTGATAATTTTCCACTTTAATGCTACAGTACTTAATTTAAATATTAATATCAATAAACCAAACTATGAACATCTGGTTTTACATTTGTCTGTAATTGTTTTAGCGAATTTCCCATAGCATATAGGCTAGGGAATGGTAAGACCTGGACTCGGGACCGATTTACTTTTTCGTTTTGAAGTCCCCAGAGACCAAAAACACCATCCATTCAATTCATATATTATATAGCCTATCAATATGTGTCCGTTAGCACGATAACTCAAGCAAAAATGATCCGATTTTGATGAAATTTGGTATAAACATGTAAACCCCGGGAGTTTATAAACTCCTCATTCATCCAGCAACTGGATAACACATTTTACAATAAAGTCATTAAAGCTGGAAAACTGCAATACCTATAGCCTACTGCAGACCTTTCAGGGAGGTTACTTCAATGTATTCATTCAGCTTAGTGAAAATATAATATAGAAATGTATACAAGAACTTGAACCCTTAGAGAGCCTTTTGAATGTTATTAGACTAACAAAAAGGGTTGTGCATGTTTACTAGTGCCACTCAGCAACAAAAACCATATAATTTATATCTAAATAACTTATAGCCTATATTCTTAAAGTGCACTGAGCAGCAGCCTAAAAAATCTATGTAACTTAGCCATATAATATAGTTACAGAATGCTCAAACTTGCATTGTGACATTTATCATTCGGCTTATAAATCTCCAACAGAAAATTCAGAAGAATTTCATTGTGCTCTTACCGTTTCTAATAACACCCAAACACAGAAACCTTGCCTAAAATAGTACCTATCTTGAAAAATGATTTGCAGTGGCCTATATTACGGACCGTGACCCACTTGGTTGGTAACATTATTGAAAATAACACGACATTTTGGCTGTAAAAAATGGCCCAATGAGTAAATACTATTCAAGCAGCTACTGTCATGACAGAAAGGTCTTATTCCTTTTAAACTAGATCGCATAGGCCTAATCCTTTATAAGATACATTGATTAACAATGCACGTTAATGTCAATATTTACGTAAAGCAGCCAATTTACATTGTTTTTTGCTTTTTGGAAATGCCACATTACTATGTCATTCGCATTATTTGTTGCCAATGAAGCTGTTTGACCATATAAATGAGGAGGCCCCTCATTCCACTACACCTAACATTCCGTAGAGAGATTATATTGACAACTTTATGTAGCCTAACTGATAAGGCTGAGACAACTATGTAACTGACATCCCCCATGTCAAGGAATTCCAGCTTTAACAGTAACCCCACAACCAATTTCTCAAAACTGTGCTAGAGGGTTATTTAATGGCACAGAAGTATGAACTGACGCGAGGTGACGAAGGAGAAATCTAACTTACACTGTAAAACCTCCCTGTTAAGTTAGAACGTGTCACCCCAACAAACAGATTTTTTTTTTTTAAATAAAATCATAGATTAATCTACATTACACTGATGAAATCCGAAAGATCCACCAATACAATTTTTAGTTGGCGATTTATTAATTTAGTATTATTCATTAAGTGTTCACATGGTAAAATTAATCTTTCACTTAACTTTAACCATGTTTTTTTTGTTAATTTCGCTATTTTTTAACTACCGGTAGTGTTAGGCCTACTTATAAAATTAAGTATTATTTTTAATGTCACTTTTGTGTTGTTTTTCTCTATGCCCAGCTGTCTGGATGTGCAGTGAAGTAGCAGACAATAGTCGATGACACGTTACCGAATTGTATTTTTGTGAAATAGACCTAAACTTTCTTAACTATATAAATTGAATAGGCCTATTTAAGTTGATATTCCTAAATAGTAATGCAATGGAGAATAGGGATTGAGGGAAGTAATTAAACACAGTTTTATTGGCAATTATTCATTTGTCAGAACATCATATTGGCGTGAGATTCATCCTTATACTACAATAAGGTAGTACTTATACCTTATACTACAACGGTCAATACAATCAGGTAACAAATATGAAAACTAGTGCAGATTTGTTAATAATTTAGTTAAAATTATAATTAAATAGTCATTACCTATAGGTATTTTATATTCTTTAGAGTAAATATTAACTGGTAACAGTGAATATTTAAAAGATCCCAAGATTTTGTAGGTTTAATTAGAAAGTTTGTGTGTTTAAATTATCAGGTAACCAACAAATACAAGAATTTTCCTTATAATTTGCAAAGTAATTTGAATAACATTTTTTTACATTGGAATTTTAATAATTAAGTTAAGGGTCTATTATATTGTTAATATAATTAGCCTATTTTATCATTTAATAAAATTTATCACTGCATTTTTTATCAGTTTTCAAGCGTTACCTGATTGTAAATGTTTCTGTGTCAACTAAATTTGAAATATTGGGGAAAATAGTAAGTAAATGATCAAATTTAGCTCTGCTGATATGAAAATTTAATATAGGTACAATAAAAGTTACAATCTACTAAATAAATTAAATTATTTAAAACCATTAAAAAATTTTTTTTCAGTTTATTCAAAGTGTCACATTTTGTGAGATTCACCCCTATATCAATTATCCACTCAAGAGTTAATTTATCAATTAAATTATTAACTTAATAGGCCTAAGTTAGCATTAGAAAAGTTATGGACATAAGTTAGTGTAAATGGACTTAATTGGTCCATGGCCTTTCTACAGGTGTGAGATGAGCGGTTAAATGGACCAATCTAGTCCTTTGGCCACAGCTAGGGTTAATGGCATAGATAGGCCTAGGCCTATGGTTTAAATTGGGCCAATGATGTGAAGTGGTGGGACTGAAAAGCACATGTTAGAGAGGAAGCTAAGTTAGGCCTGCCATTATTTTAGTTCCATAATCAGCATAGGCCTAGCTTAGTCCTTACTTAGGCCTATTCATTTTCAACGGTAGACACAATTTTTACAATAACTTCTAGGCTATACGTTAGGTAAGTTAACTTCAATTTCTGTAGCCTATTACTTATACGCAGACAAGTTATCTTAACAAGCAAACAGTGGTAAGGTCAATAGGCTAGTAATTAATTCTAACAAATATATTTGTAATTAAATGAAAACCGTAGGTAACTTATTAGGTAATCTTATTCAACCTTGTAAGCCTGGTCTAAGCTAGGCCTAGGTCCACAAGTCACCCATGCAATAAAAAAAAGTAAAAAGGTGAGTGAACGTGATGCAACCAACTTTTCCTTATTAACTTAGTTAGCAAATTCGTCAACATTTCAGAAAAGAGCGCACTTGTTAGCTTAAAATTGGCTAATTATAGATAATATATTCTCCTGGGGAAGGTCTACGCCTTCCATGTTGGACCTGAAACACAATGAGTTGAACTTAACTAGGCCTACCTGGAGTTAATTTTGGGCAAACGTTGGCAAAAGGCGATGGATCATAATCACTTCGTGTTGTAGGCGGAGAGTTCGAAGGTGAAATGCACATAGGTATACATCTCTGTCGTTTGGAGGGTCTGCTATGAACCGGATCAAAATCTAATGAACGTTTCAGAGTAGCACAGGCCATTTTGTTTTTTTGACGTTATAAAGGAAGTCTAAAACACAAATCTTCTTTCACTGTAACAACCAAGGCTATTATTTATGTTAACTTTAGAATCAATAAAGGAATATAAAAATGAATGTCTACGGAGTAAATGAGTTTTGAAATTTGAAGAAACTAGGGATGAATCCAACAATTGACGAGGGCCGAGGAAATCAATATGGGTTTCGTCAACTGAAGGAAGAGTCTCACTTCACTTCTCCTCTCCACCACCACACCACTCCCCTCCACTTCCACTCCATCTGGTCTGGGGACAGGACAGGACGGACGGGCGAGGGGAGGGTCAATCCAACCAACGGGCTTGCTCAGCTTTTATTACATTTTTTTCATGCTTAGTCACAGTCCTCAATAATGCCAAAGCATTGACTATACATATTATATATTATATAGCTACTAATGGCCAAAGATGTAAAATAAATAAATAAATAAGATAGCCAAAAGTTAAAACGATTACCTACAGCAGCGGAATCACGGCCACCAATTATACCCCCGCCGCAGCAAACCTGCCATTTAAGCGAATTTCCATTCGTCTGAATTCATTTTTAATTAAATATATTTAAAAAAATTAGGTTTAATGAGTACCTTGGTTAGCTGCTACAAGGAAACTAATAAAGTGTATTTTTTAGTAAAATTTTAATACCTTAGTATAAAATAAACAAATTTGCCAAGTTTGATCAAAATATATCCATAAACAAGCAAACTACAACATTTTACCATATTCTCCATAAAAAACATGGGAATTTTAAATTTACAGTTGTTTTTATTTTATCCATTACCAATAACCGTACAAAAACACTTTTATTTGTTTTTTTAAGCTCTTTAAAAAGGTTCACTTTAAACAATTATACCGTACTTACATAACGCAACACAATGAGATAACTTTTTGTTTGCAATGCAATTTGGATGACGGACGTTGGCAATGGCATATGACGGGAATAGCCCACCTATGTATTTTCCTTCCACCATGTCATTTTTCAGTTATTAGAAAAACACATGGCAGATAAATAGGCGAAGTAATTGCTTTGATCTTCTTTTTCTTCTTTGTCTTAATCTGTTCTGTTGTTGTTTATGTGTCAATTAAAGTATCACATATGATAATTAATTAATGATAAAGTCAATAATTAATACAAATTAATTGCTTTAGTTAATCTGAATAAATAAGGACTCAGGAAACGTTTAAACCATATAGTGAAGTGAAACTTTCAACGATGAGCAAAGAGAATACTTCCAAAAAGCTAATTCGATCTAAATCAGGGCTGAGAATTGTTGCTGCAGATGAAAACTACGAAAGCCCATTTCATCTCTGTGAACCTCAGTGGATCCCAGACAAAGAAGTAAGTAACTTAGTCTAGCTCCTATTTGATAGACGCGCAATTTTAAAGCTCAAAATTGCCATAACCCAATATTTGTTGGGCTGCACTTTACTTTCTATCCCAGGAAGAGGAAACATTGTTTAGGCCAAGGTCTTGATTAGAGATAATCATCAATAACTAAGGCCTAGATCTACCATCGTTGCAAAAAAATTGATGTTCTCACTTTAAACACGTTCGCTGCTGACGACTCTAATCGGAGTCATGCCGTACTGGCACAGTGTGCGTACGACTGGAGTCACGGTGCAGTGTTATACAAGTTTGTCAATTGTGATCTCCGCATTTATCGGGGATCAACTTAACAACTATGTCAGCATGTTGTGCTGGTCCTATAACTTACTTTAATTTGGTGTAGGTTGGGTTTAGGTTGGTAGTAAAATTTCCCTTAAAATCCTGTCCGGCAACGATTTTTGTCCTGTTTTCAGGGATTTTCTCTCTTTGAGCCACATTACAAAGACACTGGCTATGGATCCAGGCAATGCTGCTATCTCTGAGTTTTTCAGTGAACTACGTCCACTCTCAGGGTAACACAGCACCATCATCACCACCGCTGTTTTGCCGCTGTCAAGACTGATATATTTAATGCTATTGCGTTCGCTGAGTCACTGGCACGCCAAGGCTGTGTCACATTTCCGACCGTACTGCCAAAGGGGTTCTTGCAGCGAACGTGTTAACAGATGTTCATTTAAATGTGTTATCATCTGTTTTATGCCTCAGCATTAACTTAAGTTAGCTCCTAGATAGACGGTTCGGGTTGGCAGTTTTTAGTCAAGTAGGCCTGAAGTTACATCATATGACTTGCATCCCAGTCATTACATTATACTGTTGTCCTGAAAGAAATTGATTGGCAATTCATCAGTCTTGCCAAGCCTATGTTAATAGAAAAAAATCATGTTTTTTCTGATTTGAGTACTAACGAGGCCTAAGTTTTTCACTTTTCCCTTTTGTGAGGAACCTTAAACCTTCTGATGATCAGCCTTGAACCTTCAAGTATGATGATCATTCCTCGGAGCATGCTGATATCATTTCCAACTTCTTCGCTGACTTCTTCTCATCGGTCTACACCAACAATCATGTTTATAATCCTCCACCTGATGTGTGAGTTTCTTCCTGCTCGCTTCAGCGTGGCGAAGTCGTTGTCTGCCTTAGGAATCTGAATGGATCCAAGGGTTTCGGCCCTCACAACATACCGCCTAATGTTCTCAAATCAAGTGATGTACTGGCTCCTGTTATTTTATCTCTGTTAAACCACTCTTTAGCCTTGGGTGTGTTTCCTAATGCCCTGAAGAGTGCTTACATCTTACCCATTCACAAAACTTGTCCTACTCTAGATGTTCGCAACTACAGACCTATAGCTATCTTAAATACACTCTCCAAATTCTTTGAAAAGTTGATCCTCAAGAGACTTAATTTTGTTATCAAGCCTAGTCTCTCTCCACTGCAACATGGGTTTTCCACCGGACGCTCAATTACCACCAATCTTTTGGTAATACAAGCTGACATCCTATCGTTATCGAGATCGCTTGCAAGTGGACGTCATTTATCTGGACTTTGCTAAGGCGTTCGACAGGGTAAACCATCCGCTCCTCCTCACTAAGCTCCAATCTGCTGGTGTAGGCATAACTGGGTAAATGCTATCTTGGTTCCAGTCCTACCTCACAAACCCGTTCAAGTTAAGTTTCTTGGTTCTTTATCCCATGAATTTTTGACCTGGTGACCCATGATGGTATCCCTTGCCTTCTATTTGCTGACGACCTGAAGATGTACCGTACCATTAGAAGCCACAAAGACTGCCTTCTCCTCCAACGTAGTCTCCAGAACTGGTGTGTCTCAAACCACATGGACCTAAACATTAAAAAGTGTGTAGCCATATATTTTAGCAAGAAGAAGTCTCAGTTTCAGTTTGTCTATAGTTTGGGTCAATCTAATCTTGCAAGAGTTAATGAAGTGAGGGATTTAGGTGTGACCTTAATCTTCTCCCTGTCATGGGAGCGTCACATTATCTCTAGTTGCAGAAAAGCCCTTCAAGACCTGGGTTTTGTTCTTTAAAGCTTCAAATATTTCCAAGACGTTACTCTACTCAAAACCCTGTTCCTGGCCTTTGTATTGCCACACCTAGAGTTTGGCTGTTGTGTTTGGTCACCTCACCAAGACTACCGTATCTCAAGACCGAACTTCAAATGGTTCTAAATCACTTCTTGAGAGTGGTCGGTGTGAGGTTGGGCTACAACGCTACAACTACAGAGAGGTACCCATCCTCCGTGGCCCTTCAAATCCTTCTATTGGTGTCCAGACATGAGATCCAGGACATCTTGCTCATTTACAAACTGGTCAATGGCTTAATCGACTGTCCCGGACTTCTCAAACTTCTGAACTTCAGGGCGGGTAGATCTTCAACATCCAAGGACCTCTTCTCTCGTGATCATCTCTGCACCAACTATCATCTCTTCAGCCCAATCTCTTCAAGAACAACGTGGGACAGTAGTGGATTACCCATTAGGCACGATAGGCAACTGCCTAGAGGCCGCAATTCTCAGGGGGCCGCAGACAGAAAAATAAAAAATTAGCCCTTTTGGCTATTGAAATGAAAGCTGAAGTAAACATTTCCAAAGTTATTGATGACTTTAATTCAAGCTAGAAGAGAAGGCTTAATTTGATTTAAAATTAACTGGTGAATGCCCTATGATAACACTGAGTAAAAGTGAAATTTGTTTTATCATGTCTTCTTGATTTTAGCGAATTTCCCTATAGGGAAGTAGCTATTACCGTAGGTCTCATGGTAAGACCTAAGCCCGGGACCGATTTACTTTTTCATTTTGATGTCCCCAGAGGCCAAAAACACCATTCGTTCAAATTTTTATATATATATCTATATCTATACTATTATATAAAAATCTAATGGTGTCTGTATGTGTATTACTAATAGGTGCAAAAACTACTGAACCAACTGGGCTTAAATTTTACAAAAATATAGCTACTATACCAAGGACCATTATAGGACTATTCACATTTCGATACTGACCGTAGGCTTTGCCCCTTTGGCTTTAAAAGTTCTGAGATGAACATTTTAAAAGTAAATATTGATTGGTCTCCATGGCTGTAATGAGAACACTAACAATGTTTGTTTACATTTACTTTGACATATAAACAAGAAGAACTGCTAAACTGCATATTTCACAATTTCAGACAGCTGATACAAAGAAATTAAATATAATATTTTCCATAAATATGAGGTAGGTTTATTTTAATCTAACCTTTTATCATGGATTATTTATTCTAAAACTATGACAATGATTATAGAAAAAAAAAGATTTTATAACCGTTTTTGGATTTTTTAAAGCGTCTTAAGTTAATAATCTTAAGTGAAAATAATGTTATTGATATGTTTTCATGGAAACAGTATGAAAATTATAATGTATAGATGTTTTGTATGCATTTGGAGGCTACTTTAAATAAATTCTAACTGCTTCACATGTGTTAAATTAACTTAACATAGCTTTCACATCACATTGTTTTTTATATGTATATTTAGGTAAATTAAGTTATTGTGTTTTAAATTAAACTAAAGAATATCATCAATAACTAAATTGTCGTTGATTTTTGTTTTCTAAAATCTGTTATATATGTGTAACTATATTTAATTATCAAATGGTAATACAAAATACTCTTATTTTATCCTAACAAAGCTTTCAGTTCACATTTACTTTATTTGATACATTTATTATTTGTGTTTTGCCACACCACTGATTAAATTAAACCAAGGAAAATATCATAAAACTAAGCAGTACACAGTGTTCTTTTGTTTCTAAAATCAATGAAATATCTGTTACTATGTTTTCTTAATGGTAAGTGTGAAAATGTAAAAGCAATGGATGATGGAACTGATTAAAAGAACTGGTTTGTATATTAAGTTGTTTGTTGATATTTTTGTTTAGTAGAATCAGAGATGCAATGAAACATATACTGTATTTGCTATTACATTTTTTAGTCCTTGATAATCATATTAGTTTTGTCTGCTGTATTAATGCTACATTATTTGTTTGAAATTTTTAAGTACCTATAGATATAGTTTCTTTAATATTTCAAAAGACTGTATGTATTGGTAAGGCACAGCAATATTTCTAAAGTTTATAACAGCTGACTTAGTTTTGCTATTGATTTATTGTGAGTGAAAAACTGAAGATGAAAGGATTTGTGATTTAATATAAAGAAGAGTTTAATATAAAGATATTTAAATTTAATAATTAGTATTTTTGCAACTTCAAAATTGAAATTGAAAATGTCAATAATAAATTAAAACATGTGTAATTAAGGGAGATGAAGGTAAATCTGGTAAATCATGTATGTCAAGGTTTTACTCGAAGATTTGGTCAGTTTTTCTCATATCAGCCTACACAAGATTTAAAATTAATCAAAATCAAAATGGTGGTATCCACTACTTACCAGATTTAAAGGTCATAACTAAAACGTTTCTATTAAGGCCATAAAAGTTGAATTTTGTTTCTAAAAGCGTTGGCGGATGTGTAACTATTGTATGCAAGAGATAAAGATTAAAATGTTTCTATTTTGTGTCCTCTCCCCGTTGCAAAGCACGGGTACAACAGCTAGTATATATATATATATATATATATGTGTCCATCCGCACGATAACTTGAGTAATTTTTGTCCGATTTTGATAAAATTTGGTTTGAAGGTGTAAGGCGGGATAAACTTGAATGAGTTCGCGAACCAGCATGATCGGACTATGGGAACGGGGGTTTATGGGGGGTTTTATGGGGTAAAAATAGGTTTTTCTCATTTTTGACCCTAAAAACACAAAATTTCACAATTTATTTTTAAACCATTTTGTAGAGCTTAAAAAAACAAATAATTTAGTATATTGAAGCGTTATTATGCGCCTAATTGTTACGGAGAAAATTTAAAAAAATTGTAATTTTAAAATTCCCATGTTATTCTTATGGAGAATAAGTCAACTGTTGTAGTTTGCTTGTTTATGAACATATTTTGATCAAATTTGGAAAATACATTAATTTCTTACCAAACCACAGTATCTTTTAATATTTTACATAAAAAAAAACTTTTTACCCTCCCTGGTGCAGCAAACCTAAGTACTCATTAAACTAATTCTGTTTAAATAGGGAATAAATGTGATATTTTTTAAGGAGACATTTTAGTTTAAATCCAATCAGGCAGATGGAAATTCGCTAAGTCTGCAGGTTTGCTGCGGCGGGGGTATTTCCTTTTATACCTTACCTATTTCTTATAACATGCATAGGCTATAATGTACGGCCATTACTACAACTGGCCGGAATGGGCACACGGGAAGGACTAAGGCTAAAGGTGTAGTGATGTCATATCTCTAGTGGCTAATGTCTACTCTTGAGGCAACACGATTACCGTAACGAAACAATGTGTTTTCAGCGGCGTTCGTGGCATAGTTAGTAGCGTTATGATTTGAAGTTCAGGAGGTCCCGGGTTCGAATCCCGCTGGTAGCACTAACATTTTGTCAACAAAATTTTTAATATCAGCAAGTTTAGTTGGTTAGGTTAGGTTATGACAGCTTAATTTTATAATACTAAATTTTAAAATTAATTAAAAATTATAGGTAATCATTAATTAGATTTTTATCTTATACAGTTTTTATATTATCAGCAAGTCTGGTTGGTTAGGTTATGTTATGACAGTTTTATTTTAAAAATTAAAAATTAATTTTATAGTTTTAAAACAATATTTTATAATTAAAAAGTTGATTTTAAAACTAAAAATAAAAAAAATTAAATTTTTTCATCTTAGCGGTTCTAGCGGCGAATGCTGACACTACAAGATATGTTAGCCTTAGTCCCTCCCGTGTCCCCCACCGGGTTTTATGGGGGGATTTATGGATGGGGTAAAATTTGTTTTTCTCGTTTTTGAGCCTCAAAGAATAAAATTTCCCAAATTTTCTCTTTAAGACGATTTTGAAGAGCTAAAAAAACAAATAATTTAGTATATTGAAGTGTTTTTGTGTTGTTATTAGTTAAAGAGAAATTTTTTAATTAAAAAAATGCACATGTTATTCTTATGGAGAATACAGGGCCGCGTTAAGGGTCAGTGGAGCCCTGGGCAAACCCAAGAGTAGCGCCCCCTTTTCTTCTAGTGCTGGCTGGTGTTGGTTTGGGGGCACCCAGCGGGCGCCCCTAAACCACCGGCGCCCCTGGGCATATGCCCAGTCTGCCCGTTTATAAAAGTGGGCCTGGGAGAATAAGTAAACTGTTGTAGTTTGCTTGTTTATTGATATATTTGGACCAAACTTGGCAAATCTATTTATTTTATACTAAGAACCTACCTATTAATATTTTACTAAAAAACACACTTTATTACCCTCCCTGTAGGCAGCAAACCTAGGTAATATTTTGTTAAACCTAATGTTATTTGAAGAGTAATTGTAATGTAATTGAAAATCAAATCAGGCAAATGGAAATTCGCTTAGTCTGCAGGTTTGCTGCGGCGGGGGTATTTGTACTTCTGGAGGTAACTTCAGTGAGGGCCCTTTGATGTTTGAAAATGAATGCGCCCGACAGAGGGTTATATTTTTGCAATTTGCATATGTCAAGCAACAAGTCCTGTCTAGTTCTGCGCTCTCTCACGGCCGACCTCACTTTCAGTTTTTCCTTTAAATACTGCGGTGACTCAGTGACAAGTGTCTTGTGCACCATACAGATAACCTGCTTATCACAGCTCTCCTGGACGGATATTGTATTCAACATCCTACTGTGACTTGTGATATGATCATATTTTTTAAAATTCTATAAGAACCTTAGAGAGCAATTCTATAGCCAGTGTAGGATAGTGATCTATTCCTGTGTTAAGCTGTATCCAAAAACAGGTAGTTTTATATCAGATTTAACAATCGAGACGTAATATCAATCTGCAATAAATTAAGTGCTGTCTATTGGCAGTGGATACAACACCTTAGAACACTCGGTATTATCAAACCGAGTTTAATTCAATCAGGTACTTCCAGGCTTGTCTTTAAGGTTGCAGCACATACCAGGCACTTTTACTGAGCTGTCATGAATGGTCATGAGCTGAATGGTAATAAAACAATGCAAAGCATTTTTAAATATAATTTCAAATAAATGTAATCCAACTCTCATGTAAATAATGCTTGAATTGTTCAGTTTACAGTCTTAACCAATATTACCTATTTGTTTTAGGCCCCAGCATGTACCAGATGTGGTATCAAATTTGGATTTACTACAAGGCGGGTACGTAGTTTTATAAGGATAATGCAGTGTATGGTAAAGCTCAAAGAATTTTTGAACATTAAAAAGTTCTTTTAGATTTGTGACATCCATGATATTTTATTGGATAATCAGCCACTGGGGCTGTTTTTGTACTTTGCTCATTCATCTATAAATAATAGGACTAAGTGTGTAACTATTTTTCATCAATCTTGGACAAAGGTTACACTGTAGTCTAAAATGTAAGTTTAATAGTATAAAAGTTATAAAGCGTTAAAACCCAGCTATTCATTTTGAAACACCCGGTATTTCTGTACAGTTAAAAGCTCACACTGACTCAAGATCAAGATAAGGATGGAAAAGACAATTAGTATTATAAGAAACGCTGCGGACAAACCTTTTTATAAGGCTTATGCAGTTTTTGTATCCTAAATTCATTGTATATATGTGCTGTACCAAGTAATAAATAAATCAATTAAAAATTAAGTTAAAACTTAACTAGGTAGAAGGGATTATTTGCTGATAATAATGATGGATGCCTACACTTTTTGTACATATAATTTTTCACAACTGTTATAGTTAGGTACCTTAATCACCTTGTTTGTGTTTGCTGATTTTTTTGCTGATCTGACCTTGGTGAGCCCGCATTAGCTTAGATAGTCATGATTTTACTTTATTATTATACATACAAAACTAACTTTATACTTTTTCTTGTTCTTTAGGTAGGGTTATTCATTTTTCGCCACTAAATAATGAATGTTTGTTTGTAAAGCACCACTGTCGCCGTTGCGGTCAGATCTACTGCAGTGGCTGTTGTGACCACAAGCTAGATTTGCCGAGGATGTGCTTCATAGACCCTGTCAGAGTCTGCAAGAACTGCACACCAGCCACACTACAAGAGAACAAGTTCTTTGATCAGCAGCTTAAAACACTCATAAATGGTATGACGATTTATATGTCAGACACAGACGTGTTTAACGTCAGTGGAAAAATACTTGTATTAAAATAGTGCATTTCATTCTTTTGGCCTTATGTTAATTTGGAGGGGTAACCATTTTAAATCTCTGTTTTACAGTTAGGTTTTGCTCACATACATTTTGTTTGCATTTTCTTTTTACTTGGTTGGCAGAGCCAACATGCAGCTCTTTTTTGGAACTGTAGTACTTAAAATGAGGTCTTAAATTTGATTTGCAAGATAGTCTTATCAATCAAAGTGAGACTTCCGGATCTTCGCCTTTGAAAGTGACCACAAAGTTTAACTAGTGAAAATACTGTCCATTTCATACGAGTTGCTGGTTGCAGTAATCTATTTCTGAGGCAAGCTATAAAATTAAACTGTCTCATCTCGTTTAGATGAAGATACTTACTTAAAATTTTTGATATTAAACTCGAGGGAGTAAAAAAATTCAAAACTAGCGGGATTGCAACAATGTTGTCATACCAAAAGACAGAAATGTTGGAAGAGTGCAAGAAAATAAAAATAGTAACATTTCACAACCAACGTCACAATGAATAAAAACTCTGTACCAAAAGATAGTTCAGTTCTGGTTGTTTTGTAGAAAGTAGAAACGATAAAGAATTCAGTTTTTTTTCATTTCACATAGATATTATATTTGTTATCTTTTACTTATTTACCCCTAGGTGCTACTTTTACATTGGAGACTGGTCAGATTCACTCGTCCAATGATATTCTTCAGTGCAAGCTGTCTCCAGATCACAGGTCGGTTTATAAAAATAATAAGGATTTATCATTACACTGTTATTGCCACAACATGTTTTTATACAGGGTGAATAAAAAGTCAAGACCCCCCCCCCCTCTAATATTTTTCCAAGTAAATATACAGAGATATCCTATTGGTGGTCGTGCAATTTTAGCAGGAAGTTTCATTTTGTGATTTTGAAATTTTTTAGTGTTCCCCCAAAAGGGGGGATTTGGGGGGTAACTCAAATATTTTCAATGTAAACCCCCCTCAAGTGACACCTCATTTTGAAGTGTTTCCAACAACTTAAAGAATGGTGAAAACCAGAGTTCGCTATCTCTTCTCTATCCAAAATGGTAGCCAATATTACAATTACAAACCAATTTTACCATTGATTTTCTACAACTTTTGACAGGCTACCATTTTGGATAGAGAAGAGATAGTGACCTCTAGTTTTCGCCATTCTTTAAGTTTTTGTAAACACTTCAAAATTAGGTGTCACTTGAAGGGGGTTTACATTTAAAATATTTGAGTTACCCCCCAAATCCCCCCTTTTTGGGGGACACTCAAAAATTTCAAAATCATAAATTGAAACTTCCTGCTAAGATTGCACGACCACCAAAAGGATATCTCTGTATATTTAATGGGAAAAATATTAAAGGGGGGGGGGGTCTTGACTTTTTATTCACCTTGTATGCATTTTACAGTTTGGTTCTCTATGATCTGTCACAGTTCAACACACTTGAAAATCTGACTGATTTATCGGCCGATATCCGTGTAGTACTGAGATTTTATTTTTGCGATACTTATGTCTTTACTGTATTGGTGTTCAGTCTGATTACGTGGTTTTTGAAGTAAACAGGAGTGGAATTAGTACATTACTGTGATTTAAACTTAAGTAGGTATCTGAGTTATTTTGCATTGACAATAAAATGGAAAAATATACATGTGAACATTAAAATACCCCCGCCGCAGCAAACCTGCCGACTAAGCGAATTTCCATTTGTCTGAATTGATTTTCAGTTAAATATATTTTAATAACATTAGGTTTAACGAGTACCTAGGTTTGCTGCTACAAGGAAACTAATAAAGTGTGTTTTTGAGTAAAATATTGATAGCTTAGTAGAAAATAAATAAATTTGCCAAGTTTGATCAAAATATATTCATAAACAAGCAAACTACAACATTTGACAATATTCTCCATAAGAATAACATGGGAATTTTAAATTTACAATTTTTTTAATTTTCTCCGTTACTAATAATCGAACAAAAATACTTTCATATACTAAATTATTTGTTTTTTTAAGCTCTTTAAAAAGGTCTAAAGAGAAATTGGGAAATTTTGTGTTTTGAGGGTCAAAAGTGAGAAAAACCAATTTTTACCCCATAAAACCCCCCGTAAAGCCCCGTTCCCATGGTCCGATCATGCTGGTTCGCGAACTCATTCAAGTTTATCCCGCTTTACACCTTTAAACCAAATTTCATCAAAATCGGACAAAAATTACTCAAGTTATCGCGTTCACGGACGTATATATATATATATATATATATATATATGTCTATATATATATATATATATACATATATAAAAATTTGAACGAATAGTGTTTTTGGCCTCTGGGGACATCAAAATGAAAAATTAAATCGGTCCCGGGTCTAGGTCTTACCGTGCCACCTACGGTAATAGCTACTTCCCTATAGGGAAATTCGCTAAAATTTAGTATTGATATTCAAATAACCAAATGTTACAATCAAAGTTTAAATTTTCTTTTTCCTGTTAATGACTGATTTAGTGATTTTCTGAAAAATGAGTTATTAGAACATTCCCGATCCAACTGCTTCGTATTAATGACTCTCTACTCCACATTAGGCAGGAAATGGGAGGAGACGGGATACAATATTCCCTATTGTTTCGCTACAGGGGATCATAAATCATTATTATTTCATTGAGAACAATGGGTCTGAACCAAAAGATGAATTTTCTCTGTGAAAAAGAGAGCACTTTCCTCTGTTAGTTTAGGTCTCCTAAATCAGCTTCCCCTTGCAGGGAAGCTTACACATGGGCTCAAAATCCTCGTCCAAAAATGTATCACTTCTATGACTATGCACACTAAGTTTTTCTTCTACAACAGGTCCTTCGCCCAGAGAAGATGTCTTTTATGGTACAAAGTTTGGCATTTTTTAACTATGAAAATGAATATTGGCCCTTTTATTCCTCCAGACAATTGCTGTTTGATGGAGTCAAGCTGGCCCCACTAGACCTGATTACGATTCAAGCACTGCAGGTTGACAAGGATTCTGTGACGGGTAAATATATTACAGTATTTTCATACTTGGTGTAGTTATAAAGGGTAATTTTCTTATTGGTGCAGTTTTTAAAACTAAATAAAAAAATGAAAAACAACCTGCATTGACATAAAAATGCATTTATTTGAACTACAGTGTCATGTCATTAACGTTTAAAAATGATTTCTGGCATATGGGCTCCATTCCGTTCGCGTAGAAAGCCCAATCGAGAAGTCCAATTTTCGAATACTCTTTCCAGCAGCTGTGGTTGAATTCCGCCTATAATTCGACGAATGTTGGCTTCCAAGTCATTTAAAGTTTCAACGCTATCGAGCAATGTTACGGGTTTTTTCCGTTCCTCAGATAAGCGAACTTGAAGTGGATTTAGAAAATCCATCTTGGTTCCAACAAGACAGCGCGACGTGCCACACGGCAAACGACACAATTGGCCTCTTGGCAGAAACATTTGGTGAACGTATCATCTCATTTAGAGGTAGTGTCAACTGGCCCCCACAGTCGTGTGATATCACGCCAACAGACTTCTTTCTGTGGGGATATGTTAAGTCTCAAGTATACGCTGACAAGCCACAAACTTTAAATGACTTGGAAGCTAACATTCGTCGAGTTATTGGCGGAATTCAACCACAGCTGCTGGAAAGAGTATTCGAAAATTGGACTTCTTGATTGGGCTTTCTACGCGGACAGAATGGAGCCCATATGCCAGAAATAATTTTTAAACGTTAATGTCATGACACTGTAGTTCAAATAAATGCATTTTTATGTCACTGGAGGTTGTTTTTCTTTTTTTTATTTAGTTTTAAAAACCGCACCAATAAAAAAATCACCCTTTATGTAGGCCTACAAGAAACATTTCTTAAGATCTTTGTTTAAGCATTTGAAAAAGAGGGTTTGGTATTTTCGTGGTGTTTACCACAAAAGTATATTGGAAAATTTTTGTTCCTTTAGTTGATAACTCTTTATTGACCTGTAGTCCTCCCCCCCCCCCCCAATCTCGTCCCAAACCCAATCTTCCCAATCTCCCAATCTTAACAATGAGGAGAGGAGTTAGAAGAAGTTAATATGGTTCTTTCAATCTTCTGTAAAAAGTTACGTAGGCCTACTCAATATCGATCATGGAAAGAAACTCGATTGTACCACTTCTCTCAGACTAATTTAATCAGTAGTGTCAAAAATAAAAATTAACAACTTCATCAAAATGTAAGCTTTGAAGTAAAAATGTATGAAATGCATATTATAGGCACATCGTTTTTCCTGTTGTTGCCATGAATTCACTTTCAAAATACCCTGATGCTGATATCTATCAGGTGTTAATAAATAGATCTTTGAGCTGTTTGGATTATAATCCATCTTTGTGTAAAATATTTACAGTTCAGTAGATTTTTCAATAATTGGAAGAATCGGATAGACAGAAACAACCTTCTCTAACATGATAGATATTTAGGATGATTTTGCCTTATAAGTCATCCTTTCAGTAGAAAGATTACTTTCTTTTATTTGCTACACAAGTATTAGCCGATTCATTTTTGTCATATTAATCTGACTAGTATAGGAAGAATGTGTGTGTGTGCAGTAAAGTGGAATAATAATATTGAGTTTCACCATATTTTAAAACAAAGTTTTAAAATTGTTGCAATCTTCTAAGATGTGAAGAATCCAATCATTTAGCCATACTATTTTTATATAATTTACTCCATTTTAAGTTCATAAGTCAAATAGATTACCCAAACCCCCATTCCATGATATTATATTATTACTATCTTAATTAACTGAATTTTGTATTTGATAGCAACCATAAATGAGGAAGATGAACCAGGTAAGTTGTTTGAGTTTAATTCAAGGTCTGATTTCGTTTGGCACATTCATGGTAACTTCATCAAAATCATTGGTTTTTAAATCACAGCTTTTAAAAGAAAATGCAGAAAATCTTGAAAGGCTTTTATAACAACATTTATCATGTGTGGGTACGTTAATACACACTAATTTCTTTTTAAAGAAATGTAAAGTTTTGTTAATTTTAATGAATGGTAAAAAAAAGTTAGATTGTACTAGATAAGTGGCAAAGTTAACAGTTAACTTCCCAGACAGGTAGGTCTCATGGCCTAGTACAAACAATTAAAAATTATAATGAAAAACAGTTTTCTTGCATTTTTTTAGATTGGTACTCAAAATAAAATAGAAAAATTACTTATTTAGTGTAAAAAAGTCCTAAAAAGATTGAACGGACATCCCATACCGGTCTGAATATTAACACGTTTGCTGCCGCTCACCAAATGGTAGGAGTAGCCCTGGTGCAGCACAGCGTCGAGTGAACCTGTTTGGCTTTCAAATATTTTTTTCTGAAGAATAGCAAATGACGTGCAGTGATGTGTTGCGTTAGGACATGAGTCAATGTAGTTTGCTGAAACACTCACAGATAGCATCACTGTCTGGAACCAGCCAGTCCCATTACCTTGCCAATTGTAGGGAGAAAGACGGGACAACAAGTTTATTTCTAAGCCTGCCAGAAGGGGATTTTCTGTGGAAATTTACTACCAACCTACACCACAACAAAGCACCCATTTCTAGCTAAATGCAGACATACAAATACCCATTCTTCCCAGTGTGCTGCTCCACAGAAATTGAATGGAATGTAGGAGATGCCGGCACTCTCGGTGAGCGTTCAGCGTGGAAAGGAACTAGAGCACTCACCAGTGAGTGACCCGCAGAGAACATGTTAAGAAAGTTGCAGATGTATGTGATTCCCGTCTCAATTACATTATAATTATTTGTTTGATTACTATATGGTAATTTACATTATATTGTAAACTAGCAGAGTACCTGTCTTTCGTACGGGGTTGGCACATAGAATAAAATGCTTATTGCAGTTTATACTCAAGGTTTGCGTTTTCAATGGGGGAGGACACAGATTGATAAAATTTGCTACTTTAAATGTACGGTGTACCGTACATAGTATTACACATCTACCATAGCCATAATAATGTTCTACCACTTCACCTAAACCACCTAAACAATAGAGAAAAATTAATTATTAAAAATTCACAAAATATCACAAATTATTCATTAAATTAAACAATCCTACTTTAACAGTTCTCATTGCGTATCACAGCATTTTGTTGCTGCTTAGTTCAAATTAGCAATAGTGCTGCACCCTGTTGGTAAATCTATAACTTTTTAATGCTTTTGCATATGATAGAACCAACTTTATATTTACAGCTGACAAAATTCTTTAATTCTCTTTAAATATGAATAGGCCCTACTCATGAGGTTAACATGGGGAACTACAGAGCCACTGGGGCGGAGCCCGAAAGGATTTTTGAGATAAGAATATGCCTATATGTTAATCGGGAATGTGAGCTATCATCGTGTCAAATTTCAGCCCAATCCGTCCAGTAGTTAGATATTAGTAAGGTTTAACAAAACTTATATTCTAGAAAGATGTTTACATAAAAAAATTATCTACAGAATTTGCGGAAATACCTGTATCCCCTTCACTACATCTGCAAGCATTATACGGAAATATCCACCACCCGTCCATGAATGTTTTACCAAAGTGTTGAGTATGTTGCATGAAAGGAATTGTCATCTTTAAATCTTTCATATTTTTTTACTTTTAAAAAAATAAGTCAACACATTTTCAGCTGTTTCCCTTACTTGCTGAGGATGATTTCAGGAATGAGGTCCGTAGAAATAGAGTTCAGTGTTGCCAACACTGGGGAGAAAAGCACTGTGAAGCTTGCCACTACGTCAGAACTGGAACATCGTAAGGCTGGTGTGTCTTGGATCGCTGCTATGCAACAGGTAAAATAGTTTTTCTCGAGTGATAACTCTTAAATAACTTTTTTATTTCAGTAGACCCTTTCGTAATCAACTACCGATCGACTTAACCGCACTTGAAAAAAATATAGGTCAGATCATTTGCTCTACTGAGTTTAAAAACTAGTTGGTTAAACTGTTCTTAAAATTTGGAAACATCCTTGATTGTTATTTTCTTACATAGAATTCCGATTAGTATATATTCATTAGTATATTGAAGATATAATTGATTTTGATTAAATTACATGGTTCCTGTGAAAGCAGGTTAAACAGAGTGTACAGTGCTTTAATATTACAGTAGAATATCCTCATATCCTAGAACAGCCAAAAGGTCTAAGGTGCATAACCTGCAGTTTCTTCGACATTGGTAATCGTCTTCCGCCACCGGGCCAACACCCGTGAGCGTAACTTGCAGTCTACGTGTTTTTGGTAATCGGTCTGCTCGATTACAGTAACATTCGCGATCGGCCTTTCGGTTAACCGATCGCCCTCGGCGTTATTGCCCCAGACAGGAAACATCTAGACGGTCAGACACTAGGTCGGATATCCCGAGAAATTGATTATTCTGAGGTCTGGTCTCTACTGTAATGTAAAGGAAATTGCTATGGTATTAACTGATCATTTACTTTTGATGGTGGTCTTATGAATTTTTAGCCATTCATAATTCAGTGAACAATTTTTGTTCACGCCAAACAATGCCAAATTATGTAAACTAAGTATCTGAACACATTACAAATTAAAATAAAATGTTTTAGGCTTTCAAGATGCTTCAAGACTACCAGGCTGAACTCTGGTTGAATCTCCAAAAGGAAGTTGGTAGTTGAAGCATGATAGTGGCAGCCTACAGAAAAATCAAGATTAACATAAAAAACGATAACATCAAAAACAGTAACATCAATTCCAACATCATCAACAACTAGAGGTGATCCAAATTATGAGAAATGCTCTTTGTCAACAAGTATCTGAATACTTTGAAACTAAAGTATCGACTTTTGAGTATTTATATTTAGTACATTGTGTATCGGTACTGAAATAGATCATTTAGGACTCAAATATCAAAGTACCATAATAATATTCTTTTGTCTGTATTGGTTAATAGTATACGGATATGTAGGACAGTATAAACAGTGAACAGTTTATTTCCAAAGCCATCTATCAGTTTATTATTATCAAAGCCATGTACCAAATTGATGTAAACCACAAACATAATTCATTGATGTTTTGATATCTGTTCTGAAATACTTTCTCTTTATAAAATTAACTGGAGCATGAGCACTAAGAAACAATCATTTAATTATCAGCATCTAATTAATTTTTAGTGTGACTTAAGTGAGTATGGTAGTACAGTAGACTCCCTCTTATCCGGACACCTTTTAACCGGACATTGGTTTAACCGGACTACACTCGGCGGAAATGACATCTCTTTAACCGGACAATTTTTATCAGCACATTGGTTTAACCGGACTAGATCGGCAGGAAGTGGGCGGTACTGAAACGACTGTTCTCGTGGGAAAGATTTGGGACCAGTGATCACGTGTCTAAATACAATGCTCTCCAAAATTTAAGTTGAATATCACAGTAAACGGTCCGTTTTAACAAGTTTTTGGGGACGTCGGTTTAACCAGAAAAACAGTTTTCCGGACTGGCCTCGGTCCCAAGGAGTCCAGATAAGAGGGAGTCTACTTACATAATTTACCCACAAGTGCATATACTCACTCAATATACTCGAGAAGTCATTATAAGCAGGCAACACTACTGAAATATCTTTCAGAACTGTTTTCTTTGGATATCAAACAGCTCAAAAGGCTACTTGTAAATAACTCACAAACTTAAACACACACACACACTGCTTCGTCCATCGTCTTGTAAACAAATAGGTCACAAATTGTTTGTATTGCATTTTTTGGTAGCTATAGATTTGATTTGGTATTCCTTTGCTGTTTAGTAGGCTACCATAGTTAACTTACGTTGAATATGTGTAGTTACGAAGCGTGTAGATTTATTTTTGGTAAAACTTCTGGTGGTTTTGACTTTATAGCTTGAACAAGACATACAAAAGGAATTTTACAGTACAAATTCATCCTAACTCAGTAGTTGATACTTTTTACCAGTACGTTGTAAACTGTACTGCCTAGAAACTGTTAACACGTTAGCTGCGGCCAATCAATGGCAGGTGTTGAACAAACCTGATTACCGGGCGATTGGCTTTCAAATTTCGGGTCTGACGAATAGCAAATAACGTGCGGTGATGTACTGCGTTACGACGAGAGCCAACATAGTTTCCTAAAACACCCACAGATTGTAGCACAGCATGGAATGTAGCCATTGTATTGCCGATTGAAGGGAGAAAAATGGGACAAAAAGTTGATTTCTAAGCTTGCCAGATGGGGATTTTAGGGGGAAATTTATTATCAATGTACACCATAACAAAAAGCAAGTCACACACTGCACGCTAACGTGGTATAGGCCTGTCATGGACCGACACTAGGCTCACACCGAGCAACAGAATAGGGCCTAACAGATTGATGCACTGCAGTGTAGGTCAGTATTGACGTGGCAGCATGAGGGCTGCAATCGCCATGGGTCAGTACTGACCCATCTGCAGCGAACCTGTTAAGATCACCTCTATTAATAATAATAACAATAGCATAGTCTACAAACATCATTATCACATCACATTGTACAAGTAGATACTACGAAATCTTTATCATAGTAATGTAAAAAATATTGAGTAGTAAATTAATATATTACAAATAATAGTAAACTTTACAGATTATTATATTCATAAGGTTTTACATGATGTTTAGACAGTTACAGTTTTAATATTTTTACCTAGATGCTAGTTTTTCTAACAGTCCTGGCACAACATATATATATTTTTAATAATATTTGTTGTCTATGAACTTTTTGTAACCATATGTTGATATTTTTATATTCTTATTTAAGGTTGGTGTCATTTTGTGTGAGGAATAGCTGAAATTCAGCTTTAGAGGCCATACATTTGATTTATTAATATATATTTATCTGTAAGGCCCAGTACAGAGTACAACTCTTGCAGTTACAAAAAGGAAACAAACCTAACTGATAGTTTTACATACGTCTGTAATAAGACATATTGAAGAACAGTATTTTTCTGTGAAGATGTCAAACTAGCGGCCAATGTCTAAATGTAAATGTTAATGCTCAAATCTGATGCCAAATTTATGTTATGAAACGAGGTAACTTGGTTTTTGTATTTTTTTAGGTTTGAATTTTTTTAATGGTGTACTGTATTATGTATGTAATTTATGTTAAAAAATTTTTTAGGTAAACAGCACGGGAGTTATTTGATTGATTTTTAATCGTACCTTTGACTATTTAGTCAATGATCGTACTTTACTTTTCATTATGAAATAGCCATAATGCCTTATTATCATGTATTAATATTTATTTATATGTTTAACCTTTCTATATATTTGAATATTTTAATGTATGATTATTTATAATACTTGTTTTATATTTTATAACTTAGTATTTAGGTTTTAACTTGTTAAAAACTGTTGAACGAATGTTGAAAAGGTTTAAGATTGTTAACTAATGTTGTCTATTACCTGAACTTTTGGTTTAGTAGCCTATGTAGCCCATATAGTAGCATATTGTATCCAGTTTCTGTTATAAGATTTTTTATTTTACTAAATGCAGATAGTTTAAAAATTGATGATTTACTTTCAACATTCAACACATGTTAGTTATGGGGCATATGCACTTTTGTGGGATTTTGAATGAATCAAAACTGTATGATTGGTGGCCATAGATAGGTAATGACAAGTAGAATCGTGTACTACCGGATGATTTGACTGAAAGTGTGGCCTAGCTGGTGTTTTGATCCGCCATATTGGATATTATTAAAATTTTTTAAATGAAATGATAGTAATGTGACACATCATTATAAACTAAATTTTCACACTTATTTCAATGCCGAAAACCGTTTTGAAATATCTTTTTTTGTTTGGAAGATGTATTCAAATTAAAACTCTCACCCATAAATTTCTAATGGATGTTTTGTACATTTTCTAAGATAATTGTTCTTATACTTTCAGTTCTTATAAAGGCTTGCAGTTCGTTCTAGCAAATGTTTGGTTTTGAATTTTATTGATCACAAAATGGAATCTGACTTATTTTAAAACGGACCTTCATTAATATTTAATTATTTTTATACCAAAATTATTTTTTCCTTAGTTAAAGACATACAGGGCTGGTCATCAGTTACAACAATTCATTGGTGAAAGTACAAAGTAAATGAAGTGTGATAATGCATAAAAGAGTTTTCAATTCAAAAAATTGGCTTCGCAAAGAATTATTTAAATAATTTCTAAAATATCCATGAGAAATTTCTGTATTGTGTTTAAAACATGGTTATTTTAGAAAAAGTTATCTTATTAAATATACCTACATATCGTATCAATGTACCAATAAATATACTGTGAACGCTTTTATTTAAAGAGTGATAAGTGAAGAGTTTTGAAAAGGCCTTTCTCAAGTTCTATAAATATTTTTCTACGGTTTTGTAATACTCTGAGAACGTTTTTACGGGTAAGGTAGGTAACATAAAATATTTTTACATATAGTTAAATATTTTCCTCTGTTGTAACAGTGTTTTCAAAAGGTTGTTAACATTATTTTGGAGATTAAAGCACGCAGTTTCTTCTTAGCCTGATTGTTACATTACCAGTGTTGATAAATGGCTGGATATTATTTAAGTCTATAGTTTAATGTAGTTGCTGCTTAAATTACTTGTGATGGTATAGTACTTTTAATAAACAATTACTGACTGATATACACAGATTATTTTTACAAATACAGTACAACCCCGCCAATCCGTCACCTACGAGACCGGCACCAAACAGTGAAATGGTTGGATTATTGTAGGAGTGTATTAATTTACCAAATTAATTGCTTAACTGACATTTATTGATAGTGTGCGATCGCGGAAGACGATGATATTCTTCCCTTGATCGCAGAAGAAGTTTAGTATTTTCCTAGGATCGAAAGGAGACGATGATGATGGTGAACTTAGGGGCACATTTATGTTTTACAGTATAAATTATTCAGGAGTTTGCCGCAATCACAGATAAGACACATATTAACGTAAAAGTTTCTGTTACTAATGGAGACGTTGATGTCCTTGCGAGTTCAGGAGATTTTAATTATTTTTCCGCGATCGCTGAAGAAGATGATCATGTCCACACGACCGCGGGGGAAGTTTGGGTTTAGTTCAGCCTTTTGCCGCAGTCGCCGAAGAAGATGATGATTTTTTCACAACAGTGGGATTTGTCTAGGATTTGTCCATAATCGAGGAAGACAATGAAAATATGTCTCTGTGGAAATGTTCAATATTTTCCCACGATTGCGGAGGATGACAATAAATGTTTCCATGATAGCAGGAAATTATGAAGACTTTTCTGTAGTCACGGGGGATGAACAAGATTTTGCTGCAATTGTGGGGGACGGTGATGATCTCCACACGTCTATGGCAAATTATTGTCACAATTTCACAGTGATAACATTGTCTCTGATAGACGATGGCCCAGTCAGAATAAGGGAGGACTAGCCGAGGTAAAATTAGCGGGGTTCTACTGTATACTCACTCATCTTCAGGATTTATTTTTTCCAATACTGAAATGTTTTCAGTTTTTATATATTTTTACACAAAAATTGTATATCTTCTACAAAACACTTAGTGATTAAGTTTGGAAGTTTTTCATCTGATTTTTCAGCCCTTACATAGTGTAATCATCATTATTTTATTTATATTTGTTCACTGTACAATTGTTATATTTAATTAAATGTATTATTAACTACATTTTGCCTTTTGATTTTGTTTCTTGAAGATTGAAAATTTAAGATTTCCAAGCAATCAATTGACAAGTTGTCTGCGTGTTTTAGAAAAAAAAAATACTATCATTTTTGCGTATTAATTGGAAAATATCACCTCTCTGGCCTGTTAGCCTTGAAAGAAAAAGTGTGCCTATGTCATTTTACCTGACCGATGTTTTGAAATTTATTCCACATAGTCAACTTGGATAAGGAGACCACATAAGGCCCCTTTTATGCACCTGCAGCTGCCGCAGTGCGGTTCTCTAAGTACATTGACTCAAATGAGTGCTTTTATTCACTGTGGTGTAGCCCGCACAATAGTTGCGGCCCGCAAGTCCAGTGGACCTAGGAAACGCAGCTTTTTTGCGGCTGTGGATACATTGGGTCGTATGGGAGCTTTTATCTGCTAACCTCTGTCAGTGCTACCAACCCACCCCAGTCACTGGTACAGGACTGACTAGTGAAATTAATGTTGGCAGCACTTTCCTCCCCACCACAGTTGATATGAAAACCTGCGGCGCCGTAAGTTCCAAACCGCATGCAAATTTCGCAGCCGCATGTCTTGCGGCGCGATAAAAACCATAACAGCAGTGCATAAAAGGGCCCTAAATTGGACACAACTGTTTTACTTTCTCTCCCTACACATAGTATATGGATAAAGAATTGTTTTTGTCCAAATTTTTGAGTTTTTGGTGGGAACATCCGTTTTGGGTCTCTCTGAATCCAAAAAGTAGTTTTTGAAGTGGTATATGTGTGTGAGGATGTGCTACCAACGGAGACTATACATTGTAGACAATTAATAATAATGGACAGTTAATGCAATAATCCGTTGCAATAATGGTTTTAGTGGCTTGATTTTAACATGCTATGATTCTTTGTTTGTTTACATTTACACGTCATTCTGTAACAATCATGGCAACCCATAAGAAGGCTAATGTTAAAATTTAAAAACTTTGAGTTACTTTTAAATGATATAGCCATTATCAAAAATTTAAATTGTTTTCGTCCAAACCGTCCAAACATTTGACAAAAACATTGAGTTTATGTGTTAGAAAGTTTGCATTATTGAAGTTGATCCCAAAGAGCTTCCCTTCGCTCAACAATATTATTTTTCCTACAGTCACCCGACAAAGTAGGCTTCCTTGCACTGATTATAGTACAGAAGGTTGCTTATTGCTGCATTTACTTACTTTTGCCAAACACCAGTATTCCGACCAAACAACCCAAAACAGTGTGCTTTTATGCACGTAATCCCTCAATCCCTGAACGCTTGGATTATGTTGGCAACACTTAAAGATATTACTGTTCGACTACGATCAGCTGGTGCAGCGTTTACCATTTCCTTCAATGTTTGGATCTAAACCTAAATACAGGTTGTGCAGTGTTTGAAAGACTTATTATTTTTATATGCTTTATAATAACTGTAGGAAACATATAATGTGTAACACGTGCAAACTTCCTAAACTTCGCCCACTAGTTGCACAAATAAATATTCCATTCAAAAAATTGCAAGACCCACGCAACAATAAACCAAAGCACTATTGAACCAACAGCTGTTAATTGTTTTCAATCAGCTTATGCCTTTGTTTCCATCCGTTGCCATGACAACAGTGTTCCTAGCACTAAAGGGTATCTAAACGATTTCCCCTTTTATTTCTTTTTGCCAGAATTCAAATAAACACATGTTCATAATTAACTAAATATGATTAAAGATTTTTCAAAATTGGTAATTCAAAATCTTCCATAAGACATAATAGCTCGCTCATCCAACAATGAACTAGAACGCGCTATCGAACCAACAGCTGTTCATTGTTGTCATATATCAGCTGATACCTTTGTTTCTGTCCGTTGCCATGGTAGCAGTGTAACCAACATTCGCGCTGCACAGGTGAGGTTGGTACGTTTGTTACCTGTGCGTGACCAAGTCACGTGACCCGCCCAGAACTCGTTTTGTTTTACTTTCAACCGTCCGTTGGAAGGTAGTGGTGGGAGTCGCGACTTGACTGGAGGTGGAATGGACGGATAGTGGAAGGGGCGTTAGCATTGTTTCGAAACTGTCGTGGCGACGGTAGTCTGGTCCGTGGAATTACCTGTGCGTTGTACGAGCGAAGTTATTCGTAACATTCCTGAAGGGGGGTTGTGTTAATACGGGAGTGAGTAGTTTAGTGCAGTGTTTTTAAAAATCAGTCATGGTATTTGTTCCACCGCAGCATTTGTTTGTTTTGAATACCTGTAAAATCTCCAGCCTCAGGTGAGAATGTAACCTTCACACATCAAGATAGGTTTACCATTTCATTCACCACTTATGGTTTTGGATTATACAACCTAACAATGGAATTCGGTTTTACGCCAAACAGAAACCAAATCACGGTTAGAAGAAACAAATCGTTGGAAAGACGCTGGAGGACGTTAAGTGGGATTTTATTTTTCTTGTGTGTTTGTGAAGTGACTTGTGATTCTGTGAGTGTTCCCGATGCTAACCCTAGCTGGTACCAATACTCCACCGATCCTCCGGGGAGTGGCACGGAGATCTCGCAAGGGTTCATCACAAGGAAGCAGCGGCTGGAAAAGTCATTGAGTCCTTTCATATTGAGGGGTGATTTGGTGATAGAAAGAGAGGGTGAACTCGTCGTGGATCCTGGGGTGGAGGTCAGATTCGCACCCATGGTTGGGATTACCGTCCGAGGAGTCCTTACAGCAAGGGTAAGTCGAATTGTTTATGCTGGTTAATCTATGTTGTAAAATGGCAACTCAGAAATTGACTATCGATCAATGGGATGAATCAATCTCAAATTTGGACATACACCCAAATAGCGTCCTAAGAGAATCAAAATTTTGAAATTAGTAAAAAATACAAAATTTAACAAATTAAAATGGTTAGCTTGACCATTGTTTATTTACCTAGGTAATTTGCAACCTGAAATTGTATTTGGTATGTTTAATGATTTAAATTGTCCGAGGAGGTAGCATACTACTGTACAACAAATTTTATCGTTGATATGTAACTTGGAGTTCGGAAACGTGATATAAAATCATACTTTACTAACTTTTTACCTAGAAGAATAGCCTAATCCTAGGATTGGGGGGTTGTCAGGGGGATTTCTAGCTTCTGGAAGTGAGATTTGTATCATCTAACATGTTTATCATAAACCGTTATGATAATGTCCGGATATCGTTGTTAACATAGCTTAGTATTTACTTTACAATTCATCTCAAATGATTTTCAAAAGTAGTGCTGACTTTATGATTTTATCTCCCCTGTTATTCATCCCCAAGCGTCGTCTTCCTCAGATACACCCTCCCTAGCTCACCTGTCGACCGTCGGCGGACGGCAGACGACAAAAGGCTCTGCTACAAAATAGATACTCCTCCGCCCCAACCCTCTTTTAAAAGCCAGGTAGCTCTGCCCCGACCTTCAGCAGGAAGTGTAACTTGCCATTGTATCAAAGAGACAGATCTCATTCTTTGGCGTTGTAAAGGAAAGGATCTTTTCAACTCAGCTTTCTCTTAGGGATGTGTATCTCATTTATGCATTGAATTAATGATGAAATGAAAGTGTAGTTTGCTAATGTGTAAACAAGTATTCAACATTTGTGGGAATTTTGGACGGCTGTGGTCATGGATAGAGGAAATCCCAGTAAACAACAGATCTGCACTTATCATTGCACTCCATTACTTTAGTTCATATTTACGTTAAAATACCTTCAATGTCGTCTCCATCAATATTGAAAATATCATTATTAATTAAAAAAATATTCTGATGAGCGTTATAATCCAAGAAATGTTTGGAACGTTGATTGATAGGCCATCAATTTTGAATAGTTGGTAAAATACCGAAAAAGATTCAGTATTTATTTATTTATTTCAAGGTCAATCAGCATTCTACAAAATTATAATAGGGCGTATTATAAAATTATTCAATATTTTATGTGCTAATTTAATTTATTAATAACTTATGCGATGTCGTGCCATAGCCACCTCTGAAGGCTATGGTCGTATGGTCGTAACCTGCTTTAAACTATTTTTCATTCAAAACAAAGAATGCAATATTCAATGCAATTGGTACAGTTCGTAGCCGGATGTGAGATATCGGCCAATGGCGACGAAGGACGCGTTTTATCGATTGTTGTACTTCCGGTTGCGCTCACGCAATGTCCAGTACGGTAGTTGACCATTTAGATCAGATCTAATATTGATCCAATAATTGGCAATAATTTTCGACCTTTTCGTATTATCCACTGTCACAATAGTTAAAAAAACGTCTGGTTTAATTTTTGATCGAATTGATACTTTAAATTCGATAATCCGGTGGAGTCGGATATCAAAGTTTCGTCAAATTGTTGGAAAATTCAATAGGTGTCCCTATAAATAAATTAGTGTTTCACTTAATGGTAAAATAGATTAATTTAATATTTTAAATCCTTCAAAGCCGTAAATTTCAATATATATAAAAAAAAACTTTACTGAAGGACCTATTTGTCAATTGTTTGAAAGTTTTAAATTCTACAATTAATTACCTGTTGGTATCTACAGACTGAAAGTACAACCATTTTTATTCTACGGTTAAGTACAATAGAAGAATAAACGCCAATCACTTCATCTAGATGGTGTTGGAAAATTTTCTAAATATAAAACTATTGTTTTGAAAAATTAGTTTGATCAAGATAGAAAATTTTAAACACACTGATTGAGAATGAATCAACAAAAGATGAGCGGTTAGAATTAGAATTTGTTCGGGCGCACATGAAAAGAGCCCAAAAACTCAGGCAGACGCTTGAAAAGCGCCCGGATCTCCAAGGTCCCTCTAGGACGCAGGACGGTGCGAAAAGAGCCCGGTCTCTTTCTAGAACTTTCACAACGCGTCTTCAAAGGAGAAAGAACCAATAACACAGTTGAAATACATTAAATTATTTACAATATTAAAAGATACACTGTTGAAAGATACATTAATAAAATATAGGCTATATTATTCAAAGATATTTACATTACTAAAAGATATAGTCTGTTTACCTTACCTAACCTAACCAAACCCAACCAAACACAACACTATTTACTAAACACTACTATATATATACACAATTTATAGTCAGCGTCCTCCTACTCAGGTACCTGTGGAGACCCGGGCTCTTTCCATGCTTAAGATTAGTGAACCTTTTTTGGGATTAAAATTTCGGGCTCTTTTCATGTGCCCCGATTTGTTCAGTAGGCAATGGTTATGTGTTCAAATTTACTCAATATTTTTATTCAGTACTAACTGATAACAATATAGTTCTATGTTCAGGTCTTACGAATAAATTCAACAATCAAACATTTCACGGTGTTTTTGTGAAGGTCAGTGATACCAGATGAGAGCAACGCACCGATCGACCAGCTGACATTTCGTCTCACAAAGATCAGCTGACATTTGTCGCCATCTTGTTGATTCCCCGGAACTAATGGTTATTGTTGTTGCAGAAAAGAAATATGACGCCGATCATATTATGTCAGCCGAGTAAAAAATTACGTTTTCACCACTTACCTTGTCAACGCCAGATTCCTTTGTTCCGGTGTTGGATAATAGTAGGGCTCTAGGATTTGAGACGTTTTTGAGTTCCACAATAATAAAACAACAAAAATGTGTTGAAAGTAAGTAATGTTATAGGTATGGGAATTTCCATGAACAATTTCACCACTACTTCCAGTGTTTAGTGAATTTTCTTACTTCAAACTACAGTATTTAGGCCTAGGACTATGGCTACATCAGATTAGTAAGCACGATTTTACCACTTCCTGACAATTCGAAATTGTAATTACGAGTTCTCCTTGATGAATAAGAAAATAACCTACAACTATAACATTATTTACTTAGCCAAAATGATCTTTATTCATTTAGTCATTCAACCAACATTGTCTGTGAGTAGGTATAATATTGTCGTTTTTCAATACAGGGCTTATTTGAATACATTGGCATGCCCTGAATTATATCGGTTTGATATTTTTAAATCGAGAAGAGGCTATTTAACACGAGCGTAAGGGTTTTAACGGCCAGTTAAAAATCAAGTCAGTTTATATGAGTCATATGCTTTTTCTCATCTATTCAAGAATACAGTATGGCCTAATAATGAAAAGTTCCAAATCATTTATTCAACCTTTTGAGTGACAATACAGTAATCAATATTGTAAAGCGCGTAAAACTATTCTCTTCAAAGAAAATATATGTATTAAATTATTGTGATGACTTCTTATATCGACGTAATGGCTTCACTAGTATTTGACGTGATTCATGTCTCCCCTCCTCCTGATATGTTATCACTTGTGATAAGCCTTATCAATTACCACCTGATAGATAACGGCAAGTGCTGCTTATCAGTTACTATTTAGTGTTTACTTCACAGTATACTGTTACCACTGTAAATGTACTGTCAGTTTTGAATATTTCGTCTGTTTCTGATTACAGGATATCGGTGACAATTTGGCCTTAGGATATTTTGGGATATTTCGTGTTTGCTATAAATCAGGATATCAGTTACTGACTATTTGGCTAGGATATTTTGGGATATTTCGTGTTTGCTATAAATCAGGATATCAGTTACTGACTATTTGGCTAGGATGTTTTGGGATATTTCGTGTTTGCTATAAATCAGGATATCATTTACTGACTATTTGGCTAGGATATTTTGGGATATTTCGTGTTTAAATCAGGATATCAGTTACTGACTATTTGGCTTGGATGTTTTGGGATACTTCGTGTTTGCTATAAATCAGGATATCAGTTGCTGACTATTTGGCTAGGATATTTTGGGATATTTCGTGTTTGAGTTCAATTATTCGTTGGCTTTACATATTATTCATTTTCTATTTTAAATTTCCTTCTAGTCTTTACAAATACTCATTTTACATTAAATTAACGTTAAACATCTATGCATTGACTTGGATTGGAGTTGTGCAAGTATACTTGATATGGCAAGAAGTAAATTGGATGCTGAATCTTAACACCGAATAGAAACATACCTTAAATTAAATTATCTTCGATCCATAATAATACAAAATCTATATCTTTAAGATTACCCTTTGTCCCTTTGCGTGCACTACCTAGTGCGTTCAGCTCTAACAGATAAAGAATCGTAACTTGGTTTGTGTAGTTACAATCTACAAGAGTACAAGACCATTCGTTTGAATTAACTAAACCCAACTGCTCTTGACCATTCGGCTCTAATGATCATAAAGAGTCAGAACATGAACAACGCTTGCCTCATTCATTCATTGGTCATCCAGTTGTATCGCATCGGCGGACTTCTCTATTGATCCAATCTGAACTCGAATCAGTGAACGCGAATTTCAACATGACTAGGAAATCATTTCCTCAGTGGTCATAATGCAGGTGTAATTCAATTATCAATTATTTAAGATGGGGACGCCACTATGTGCGTATTTTAACCCAAATATGAGTGAAGGATGAGTGTAGGATGAGTGGCACGATCTTGTAGTCTTGTTGGTGACTAAGGCCGACATATTCCTTAGACACAGCGTTAATTAATAGCCCATACAGCTAATGGCAACTAAGGGACCTACAGTTTATAGTGGAATCCGAACCACATTTTTTCCTTGTAGTTTACGAATTGGTCTAATTATCAGGATAGTACTGCGGATAGTAGTAGTATTCACTAGTGCGGACGTTAATCCACACCAGGGAGTATAGCATCCACAGTGCATGCTTATAAATA